TCCTCTTCAAGTCTTATGTTTCTGTATGCAGTCGATGGTTGTGTTTCTTTGATTAAAAAACAAACAGAAACTAATAGTGACTCAGCAAGTAGGTYGAATTGTGTCTCTCTCCTCCCGTATAAATAATTCTGCATACAATTAGACTAAAATCCATTTATGAGACTGTAGCTATTATACTTGCTAAACTCTGAGAACAATGTGTTACCGCGTGATGAGTTGAATAGCAATTTTGTATTGTAATTGGTTTTCCCTGTCTGTGCATGCCAGGGGGATTGGCTACATGCAAAACATGAGAGCATTTAAGACTGTTTGTCCTCTTCGAAACGAGCTGCATTTGGACATCACGACTGCTGTCAAGGTAACAATGGGAGTGCAATTAAAACAGAAGCGTTTATGTCACGTGCAGACCTACAAAGACAACATAAAAGCGAGGAAGATGATGATGCACTGCGTTCAGAAATAAATGGAGAGGAATCTGATAGGTGGTGTTTGACTTTTTGTGCCAACAGAAAGGAGCAGCTGAGTGGTACGAAGGCCTCATCGCTCAGTATAAACCAGAGGAAGGGGTAGGTTTTTAATGTCTAAAAAGTAAAACTAATTCCTGACTAAGCCTTGAGGACTTATTRTGTTTTGACAATGCAGGCTCTGGAGGAGCAGCTGAAAAAAATGGTTCGAGTGATCGATGCTGTGTGTGCAGACGTACAAAGAGCTCAAAACATCTACAAYAAACTCTTCTACAGGTGAAGATTAGCTCCCTGAATGTGCATGCTTTATACGTCAAGAAATTCAGCACAATGTTTAAAACGCTGAGCTACCTGCTGCAGCCACATTTGTGTGCCGGCTTAGTTGGTTTGATGTACTTTCATCCTTTTGTCGCCACAGTGCCGTGAAAGTAGATTTCTTCAGCATATCATACAGGCAGTTGGAAAAACAGGTACGTCTTTGAAATTGCGTGAAAATATCTTCTGAAGCCTTTGTGAGTCACGCTGCTTGGTTGTTGCTAAAATTGACTCTGGCACTTTCGCATTTCTTCACCCGGCAGGTAGCTGATGATGTAAATGTAGCAATGGAGCGGGTCTGTGGGACTCTGGAGCAGGAGAGCTCCCGACTGACTCAGGCAATGGGGGAGACCATCTTTGAGCTCTTCATGTCCCTCAAAGTTCTCAAAGGCTTTCGGGAGTTTCTACCTCTCAAGTTAGTTGCACTCAGATGATTATTTATGTGCCACTCTGAAAGTGTCTGACTCTTGTTTGGATGCTTTTCTTTATATATGTATATATAGTTTTTTTTTTAAATAAGTTTTGTTTTTTTAATCTCCAACAGAGATGCAAAAATGCTCGCCTTGACGGGCTTTCATAACTGGTTCAAGTCCTCGATTCACAAGTGGCTGCAGATCGTTCATGAAAAATCTTGTGATAGGATCCGTAAAGCAGTGGAAACAGATCAGGTGGGAATCTACGGAACCCACAAGGAGACATGTTTTTTTTTTCTTTTGCGTTTCCATGCAATAGTATTGCGTTACCTCGCAATACTTTTTGTCTTCCCTCACAAAAGTTATTTATCACCGTTGTGTCTGCCGTTTTATCAACAAATTCTTTTGCTCATCATTAGCGAGTCACCTCTAATTTACACTAGAAGGGTTTTCTTCAGTTTGCTGCCATTTGTTTTACACCCCAATTTATACAGCGTTATACCGCACAGGTCCGGTCCGGTGCGAAACACAGAGGAGGTCCGAGAAGCGTGTGCAGGAAATGCGAGATTGCGCAGTAAATCCAGTGATAAATGAGCCACTTTAAATACTCACATTGATTATAATGGATGTGTGTTTGCTGCAGAGGTCGGACCAGACCGGACCCGAACCGCATCTAGTGTAAATTAGGGGTTAGTCTACTTCTTTAACTCAGCTTCAGAATGAAAATATCTCAGAGCCAGGCATGGAAGTATCTAATATGCCGATATTTTAACTCAGTTTAGCCACGCAATATCAAAGTMAATTTCCCAAACTTGAGGTGACAAATCCTTTTTCGGTGACCGGATATTTCAAAATAAAAGTTGATTTAAATCATTTCATACAAAACAAACTCTTGTGTGGGAACGAAAAATAATATTGCGAGGTAATGCAAAAAGGTTTGCTAGGTAATGCAAAAGTATTGCGTGGGAACACAACAGAAAAAAAAATCTCCTATGTCTCCTCGCGGGCTCTGTAGACAGCTTCTATTCTTGAAATGTGGGAATTTTTTTAAAGAACATAAGTTGATTCATGATGACAAGCTGAAAGGTACTCCAGAAAAATCTCTGTTTTATGTCAACAAGTAACACATTTGYATTTGTAACTTAAGTACAGGTTTGAAAAAAATACACAACTGATTTTAATTGAATACAGTACCGGTAACGTACTAAAGTTTGAAAAAGCATGTGCTTTATGAGCAGCTCCAGCCTCTTCAACAAGCCAAACACAGCTCGTCAGCGGTGGAAGTGACAGCTTGCTTCAGCCAGGTACGCGAGATTTGGCTCCAGCTGGCCTGGCCTGACTCTGCGGGGGCCTTCATCTTCGTCACTCGTTTGACAGACGTGAGTGCCACTTTTAGTGTCTCCACACATGCATACTCATATCCTGCAGTCACGCTCCGATGACTTTTAGATGACAAGCACGAACCAAGAGTTAAAGAATAGTTTTGACAATCGAGCTGAAACTCAGATKGACTGATTGATTTACCTCCCTCAGAATTTCTGCAGTGAAGCCGTTTGTTACTCTGAGATGATGACACGCAGGATTGAGCGGAACCAGCTGGGCCGAGACCACAAGGCCTTCACAGTGCAGGTAACGCCTGTGGTCGAGACAGAAGYGGAGGAGGGCGTATGATAACGTCAAAAAATGTCTGAAAGTGTCCCACTCCCACCTGGCAACATRAAGAGCTCAGCAGTGGAGTAAACATGTACAAAATGTTTGTTACCGAATCAGACCTTCTTTTAATGCAGTGTCACCCAAGGTCCATAAGATCACAAGTATTCAGTGCTGACCATCAAAGACTGTAAATAAGGAAAAATGGCTTGATTTGTTTGTTTGTTTGTTTTTTTTTAATCAGGAAGACCTCTGGAAAATTGGTTTGAATCCTGTTTTTAACACATTCTAATAAGGATTTCTCGATGTCATTTGAAGGAGGAAACCTCAAACCATATTTGGGATTGGGATTCCCCAGCTGGTATTAAAATGAGCATTGTTAGAGCTAAATATTTGCACTCACATCCCATCTCTCTACTTCTAGACAGCCTTGTTTCTCTTCTTTTTTTAAGAAAGGGGGTCTCTGCAGTCACTAAGTGGGAGTTTCTTGTTTTGTGGGAGGAGTTCRTCCAAGACTTGATTGGTCGGATTAACTRTTTTTGGGYGGGGTTTAAAGAAGYTTGGGGAAACTTGAGAGACATGTAGCTYGATCGAATCGGCCAGAAAGCACCTACCGATATATTTTCAAATCTAAATATTAATTTTAGTCATAACTCAAGAGAGGAAGGCGCCAGTTGCACCATATTTGAAGACAGTATATTATATTTACATGTTCACAATAATTTTATGACTTTCTTTTGAACAAGTGAACCAGATCCATCATGGTTTTGCCAAACTCCGCCCACCCARTCACCTCTTCCTMTWTTCCAAACTCTGTCAGTCACAGTTAGGACAAACTACATCCCATGTACTGCAGCGACCCTTACTTGTCTTTTTCCTCTTTCTCCTTTGCTCCTCCTTGCTTTCTGCTAGCTCTGCATTGCCCTGAACAACGTGGAGCATGTGCGTGTTTTCCTGGCTCACCTGCCTCGTGACCTGGACTGGCCAGGAGTGGAGCGGGCCATGGAGGAGTCGTGTGGCGTGGAGGGGAAAGAGCAGGTTTACAAAGCCCTGAATGGGCAGCTGTTTAACATGGACCTGGACCTGCAAAGAGAAGCCAAACGCATCATTGCACAGCTCACTGACAAGGTGAAAACAACCTGAGATGTAGCCAAACATCTCGAAAGCTCATTGATGAATAACYAACAAGACCTTGTAGATTGATTGGTGGTTACTTTCTAAAACATGAGTAATTAAGTTAGTGAACAGCAAGTTCATCTAAAATCTTTGTGTAAAAATTGTCACCTATGTTTTATTTTTTTAATGCTTGTTTGCCACTTCACACAGAACATTTTCTAATTTCAGACCATTTTTATTAATAATGTAAGCTTGTGAGACTTTTTTTTTTTTGGTGGAATCTGTCTTTTACTTTCYCAGTTGCTGTTGTCCAAAAGTACAGCATATATAGTGTATTTTTGTGTGCAGATGTTACCCGAGCTGCGGAGGTATATCCAGCACATCAGCTTGTCTCCGGACTCTATCAACAATGATGAGGTTTGCAGTGACGGTCTCCTAGCAGCTTTGTCAGTCACATCATGCATGTAACRGGTGGATTCTCTTCCAGGCTGTCTCCCCGCTCATGAAGTACCTTCAGGACACTATGCTCATTCTGACTGAGAACCTTGTTAAAGGAAATCTGGCCACGTATGTGCTCTCCTCTCCTGACACTTTCCTATTTCCTCCTCATGATGTGAGTCCAGTTTTATCTTCTCCCCCGCTCTAGTTTGAAATGCAACAGGGTTGTCCAAATTACACAAATAATTCAGATGGAACAAGCTAACAACACCACTAGATTTATTATGTGTTATTAGTAATGAATCAGATCTGTTGTCTGCAGAGATACCAATTTGTGAATTGCTTTGAACACTGTATAAAATACAGGTTGTATTTAAGCTTGTAGCGCAAACATATGGTGCAAACTAGAAGCACTAGGAGAGTGCAAACCTCCGCCAAGACCAATTCCCCTCATCTTGTAAGAGTTAATGCACAAAAGCAGAGATGAAAACACATTTTCCGAATAAGTTGTGACGTAGCAAACATTTAAGCAGGCAGTATGCACGGGATTTCTTTTCGATGGAGTCCAGTGTGAAAAAAAAGTCAGACTCGTCACCCGACGTTATTCATCGTCAAACTGGTGTCGGATTAAGCTCGTAAGTTTTCATCAGTCACATTTCACCATGTAAAACATCTGTTTTATCTCCTTAGATGAGTTTGTGGTTTGACTCTCTTTATAAAGTGCTTCCTGGCTCCCCCCGTCTCCAAACTTTGAGGCCCGGCAGCTCTCTGTTTACAAGCCTAGTAGAGAGAAACTGTTTTGATTGGTTGTTTCGGAAATGTGGTGTGTTTGAGGAAATGGGAAAAATAGGTTTCATGGTACAGTCACACACTTCCTGGTCACAAAGCGTTCTGTAAATGCACATAYTATGGCAAAAATTATTCATCATTAAATGTGGTTTTAACATTACTTTTATAAAGTTTGAAGTCCATGCTGTCAAACCCAGCTTACTGTTTTTTTTACAGAAGCCCTGTGAAAGCATCACAGCTTTGCTGATCTCAGAGTGTTAAAAGAAGAAAAATCCTGTATCYGCATCGTGATCCGGAACATCACCAAAATTTAAAAATGTGTTCCTTGGCCCAGTACCCACTTGTGTTAAAAATGTCATGACAATCCGTCCACAAGTTTTTGAATAATGTTGTCCACAGACAGACAGAGAGACAGACGTGACTGAAACATTACCTCACCCTTGGCGGAGGTAATTAGTACATTTAAACACCAACATTAACAATATTTGCTTTTATTACATGTACACTTTAATAAATACTGTTTATTTCATGTAAAGTTTTGCAGAGATTTATTTTCTTTATGTTTTACTGTATATACCGTACATCAACATTTGGCTGACAAAGCTTCCTAGAGAAACACTAGCACACCCCAGCTGCTTCAGAAATGTGTCTTGAACAAGCGACTTACACCCTTTCTAAATCAGTCAGGATGTTGTGTGACATAAAGCATCAGTGTCTCTTCTGAAAGTGATGGACAGCGTGTCCTCCAGCCTCCAGAGAAGGGAGACCCACTGATTTTGTTACCGGCACACTCTAATAACCGCCAGCATTTATTATGTGTGTTTGTGTGTTTCGGGGTGGAGAGTTTCGCGTTAGTTCTCRTGATTTTAGTAGCTTGCACATCTAAGAAGGTATCTTCGAGGCTGAACAATATTTACACATCTAAGAGCAGCACATGCTGCCATCCAGATGGTATCTTTAAAAATAAAAATATGCRCCCCGCGTATCTCAACACAACATAGTTACGTTTTACAACAGCACGGCTTTGTAGTAAAAATGTCAAGATGTTAAAGTGCCTGATGGCTGCTGAGCAATCCCAGTCATTTAAATGAATTCGAACATAAAAAGCCTGTAACGTTCAAGAGCTCAAATCCTATAACCGGCACGAAYGGGGGAGAAGAAAGTACTTTTCAGTTTAAACAACTGTTGTCATTTTTAGTCTGCAGATGCTGATATGCTACACAGATATAAAAAATATTTTCTTACAGTTTTAATATTTTGATGTTGGATTTCAAATAGGGTGGTACGGTACAAGTTTTGCCTCTAAGAAGGTTGCTGGATCAAATCCCAGCCTGAGTAGAGTTTGGATGTTCTCTCCRTGCATGCATGGGTTTTCTCTGGGTACTCTGGTTTCCTCCCACAAACCAAAAAAACATGCATGTTCGGCTAATTGGTAACTCTAAATTGTCCCTAGGTGGGAGGGAATGGTTGTTAGTCTCWTTTATCTCTATGTGTCCCTGTGATGGACTTGTGACCTGTTCCRTGGTGTACCCCATCCCTCACACATTGACTGCTGGTAATTGGTACCAGTGACCCTGAAATGAAGAAGTTAGTTAAGATAATGGATGGATGGATTTCTAACACATTCTCACATCGGACTCGTCAACATATTTACACTTGGTCAGGGACCGTCTGCGTCCAGTTTTGATGCGTCGGGTACCCCCCACGCGTCCGTCATTGCCACCTGTGGCTTTTCCGGGTTGCGTCACTTAGGGGTCTTTGAGTCAGGGGTCTGAGGTTAACATGAGGGATCAGGATTAATGGTTAATTTGTGATACTGGGGTCAGGGATAGGCTGTACATAGCTAATATAGGTTAAATTTAGGGTCTGGGATGGTTAATTCTCGCGCATTCTCTACATTTTAAAAAATGGTTAATATGAGGGATCAAGGTTAATGGTTAATTTTAGGTACTGTGGTCAGGGATAGGCTGTATAGGGCTAATAAAAGTTCAATTTAGGGTCTGGGATGGTTAGTTTCGCGCATTTCTTACTCTTGTAAATAAATAGAACAACGCGCCCGTCCTCCTCCACCTCATCTTGAAAAAAACTGACACGCGGGGGGTACCCGGCGCGTCAAAACTGGACGCAGAAGGCTACCTGACCAAGCGTCAATATGTTGATTCGGGGAGAGTGAGAATGTGTTGGGATTTCACATGATATAAAAAATGGAATTAAAATTTTTTACAGATAATTAAATAATAATATTAATAAATAATAATATCTTCTTCATAGAGGAATTCACAAAACAATTTTTTGTCATAAGTTACAATAATACCTATTTAAATCTCAAGAAAAAAACAGGAAACTAAAAGTTTTAACTCCTTTACTGGTAACATTTATTTATTAGTAATTTGTATGTGRTATAATTAGGAGAGCTCAGCTAACACCAACACGTGGGCGTCTAATTGTGTTTTGTTTTGTTTGGTTTCTTTGCCTCGCAGAGTTCRACAAAGCATGTGGGAGCTGCTCCTGCGGATGATCCTGGACACGGTCACAGAAAACAGAGGGGTTCAGGTGGAGTTCTACAACCGCTTCCAGTACACAGTGGAGGTCAGAGGTTACTGCATCACACAGCACAGCTCTTTGTTACAGCTTTATTGGATTTTCGTAGGAATAAAACCGTTTCATACAAGATAGTGTCTACACAACGGACTGCAATATACAGTATCTGCAGTTTGTAGACTACACAGTAAAAACAAGCCTGTTTAATTATCCGTCTGTATGCAGYAGTTAGCATACGTAAGACATTCACAAAGCACTTAGGCTGAAGCTTTGTGCCAACGTGTGTTGTCTTGTGAATGACAATGTGGAAACAAATGTTCAACAAATTTAACCAGCTGGCAGGAACCATCACACACGAGTGGGTCAGATTAGGACTTGAGCTGCCGCTGCCTGCTGAAGGTTTCCTGCTGTTTGTGTGAACAAAACGTCTGGTTCTAACCTTCAAAATCAGAAACATATAATGAGTCATATCTTGATTGGTATATATATATATATTTCAATRCTTTAGACCCTGTTGCAGTTCTTTCACGTCAAAGGGGAGGGTCTGTCCTTGGAAGACATGAAGAGCGGTGACTATAAGGTATAAAGCCTGCCGACTAGATTTAGTTCCTCTTGTGAACAATAACATTCATTCCTTTTTTTTCTAACCGACTTTCCTGATTGTTTAGGTCTTGGATGAAGAGCTCAGGCTGAATAAATGTTCCTCCTTTGATCTGATTGAACAGTACTATCTGGAGAAGATTTCTCACCAGGTTTGTTTCAACCTAACAGACAGACAATTTCATTTAGCTGGACAGAGAGATATTGATCGGACAGCGCATCACTCTGTCTTTTCTTCTCTTTCTTCCGGATTGAAAACCCACTTTGTGTTAAACTCTTAAAAGCATCATGCAATCGAGTTCTGCAACTCGCTGAGAAATGTAGAGGATTTCTTTTGTAGGCTGTGAAATGAAARTGATTTATTTACTTTTTTACGTAAGCGTATTTCTGCTAAATGTGTTTTACTTTCACACAATATGGTTGCAGAAAACACTCAAACACACACCTTATGGTCGGATTAGTGTGAAATGCTACTATGACGCCCCGGAGCAGAGGCTGACGGTGGAGATTCTACACGCTGCAGATATTATCGCACTGGATGCCAATGGTAAAACTGTAAGATTTATATTGAAAAGGTGTTTTTTTAAAAATCATTTCATTGTTCCTGGTTTTCCTCAGGTCTGAGTGACCCCTTTGTCATCGTGGAACTTTGTCCTCACCACCTTTTTCCATCCGCTAAGAGTCAGCGCACACAGGTCAAACTGAAGACGCTGCACCCAGTGTTTGACGAACTCTTTTACTTGTGAGTAGGATCTCTTTATTTCCTTTTCCTGTTTCTCCTTCTGGACCTCTACRTGACGTGTCTGGTTTGGCTGTCTTCCAGTCACGTCAGTCCTGAGCAGTACAGACACAGGTATGCCTGTTTGACCTTCACTGTGATGGACTATGACTGGCTCTCCACCAACGATTTCGCCGGAGAAGCCGTCGCTCCTCTCAGTGACTTCTGCTGGCCGGGGAGACCGAACGCCTCGGCAGCTGGAAAAAATGTGCAGCCTGCCATTCTGCACCTGTCTCGCAGCAAACCCAGTGGTATTTATACACTAACCTCGAGCTGGATCATGTTTGCGTCATCTTGCTTCTTATTACTTTTGGTCAAAAATTGTCTTTATGTCTTTAAGTCTTTATGTGCAGTCTTATGAGCTGCCAAATGTAAAAAAAAAAAGAAAATGTTTTACAAAAATACTTTAAATGTCACTAACCCTTTTGGTAACACTTTAGAATAACTACACCTTATTTAGCCTTAATCAATCATTAATAAAGGGTTACTTAACCTTGAAAACATTATTAATCAAGAATGATTCAGAGTTCATAAGCTATGAATGAACACATTTATTAATGTTTTACMCATAAAGGTTAATTACTTCTAAAACAACATACTCATTGTTTACAGGTGCTTAATAATTCATGAGTTAACTATTGTGTWTATATTTGCAAATGCTCATGCAAACACACTTTCACACCATGTGTTAGACATGTATTATTGGTTAGAGATTGTTTGAATTGACTATCTACTAACACTGCAGTGCATCAGTAATTAAGGTAGGTGTTRGTAGTTAGTCATATGATGTAGAAAGACTGCATTTTCACGTACAGTCTTTACATTGATTCATACAATCACTATACACGGGGCTGTAGTGCAGATAGTTTTCACTCATGGTTCTGACTCATGGTTTTTGACTTTATCTTTAAATTATATTAAGATTAAACATGATAATACAAGTAACTACAGGATATGTTTAGATTAGATATAAACACACATTTTATCAATTTATGAAATCTCCCATGAGGCTTTGCTGCCTCAGCATACGTTTAACTTCCTGGTTAGAACACTTTCCCAAATTTAGTAAAACTGGCATTT